GCTCAGCCCATTGCAGCCCAGCTCAGCCCAATTCAGCTCAGCTCAACACAATCCAGCTCAGCCCAGCCCAGCTCAACCCAATTCAGCTCAGCCCAGCCCAGCTCAACCCAATTCAGCTCAGTGCAGCCCAATTCAGCTCAGCTCGGCCCGGCCCAGCCCAATTTAGCTCAGCTCAGCCCAGTTCAGCACAGCTCAGCCCAGGCCAGCTCAACCCAATTTAGCCCAGCTTAGCCCAGCCTCGCTCAACCCAATTCAGCTCAACCCAGTGTAGCCCAGCTCAGCCCAGCCTAGCTCAGCCCCGCCCAGTTCAACCCAATTCATCTCAGCCCAGTGCAGCCCAGCTCTGCCCAGTGTAGCCCAGCTCAACCCAATTCAGCTCAGCTCAGCCCAACCCAGCTCGGCTCAGCTCAGCCCGGCCCAGCTTGGCCCAGCCCAATTCAGCTCAGCTCAGCCCAGGCCAGCTCAGCCCAGAGTAGCCCAGCTCAACCCAATTCAACTCAGCTCAGCCCAGCCCAATTCAGCTCAGCTCGGCCCAGCCCAGCCCAGCCCAATTTAGCTCAGCTCAGCTCAGTTCAGCGCAGCCCAGCCCAGGCCAGCTCAGCCCAATTTAGCCCAGCTTAGCCCAGCCTCGCTCAACCCAGTTCAGCTTAGCCCAGGGTAGCCCAGCTCAGCCCAATTCAGCCCAGCCTAGCTCAGCCCCGCCCAGTTCAACCCAATTCATCTCAGCCCAGTGCAGCCCAGCTCAGCCCAGTGTAGCCCAGCCCAGCCCAATTCAGCTTAGCCCAGCCCAGCCCAGCTCAGCCCAGTGTAGCCCAGCTCAACCCAATTCAGCTCAGCTCAGCCCAGCCCAATTTAGCCCAGCTCAGCCCAGCCCCGCTCAACCCAATTCAGCTCAGCACAGCCCAGCCCAGCTCAACCCAATTCAGCTCAGCCCAGCGTAGCCCAGCTCTGCTCAGCCCAGTTCAGCCCAGTTCAGCCCAGTTCACTTCAGCCCAGTTCAGCCCAGCCCAGCTCAGCCCAGTTCAATACAGCCCAGTTCAGCCGAGCTCAGCCCAGTTCAGCCCAGGTCAGCCCGGTTCAGTCCAGCCCAGTTTAGCCCAGCTTTGCCTAGTTCAGCCCACCCCTGCGCCGCCCGGCCCAGCCCAGGTCTCCCAAGAGAGTCTGTAATCACCACCCACCTCACTTACTGTCCTTGGCCCCACTCAGCTGGGCTCAGCCTCTCCTGACCCAGCCCAGCTCAAGTCAGCCGAGTCCAGTCACGTTCACGTCCAGGTCACCCTGCTTCAGCTTCAGGCGGCCCAGCTGTGCCAACCCAGGACCCCCCAGTCCAGACTCCCTCAGCTCTGCTCAGCTGGACCACCTGACCATGCCCTGCCCATCCAAATCAGCCCAGTGCAGGACAGCCCAGCTCAGGATGGGCCTGGCCCCATGGAGGATACCCTCCCATTTGACCCAGTTCACCCTTGCTGAGTCCACTCACTCACTTAACCCAGCCCAGCCCGGCTTCATCCACCCAGCTCGGCCCAGACCACCTTGGCTCAGGAGAGCCCAGCTCAGCCAAGCCCAAGTCAGCCACAGGCAGCCAGATAGCCCAACCTGGTCAAGTCTGCCCCACGGCTGGCTGGGATCACCCCCTTATCCACTTAGCTCACCCCAGCCCAGCCTAGCCCAGTTTGGGTCAGTCCAGTTTAGCCAGCTCAGTCCACTCCTGCCCAAATCAGTCTAGTCCTGTCCAACTCAGCTCAGCCTGGCCCATCTCAGTCTGGCCCATCTCAGTCCACCCAGCTCACTTGAGCTTAGCCCACTCAGCCCAGCACAGTCGAGCACGGCTGAGGATAGCCCAGATTGACCAGCGTGGCCCACCTGAGCCCAAGATAGTTCATTCCCCTCCACACAACTCCGTCCACTCAAGCCATGCATGGCTCAGCCCAGCCCAGCCCAGTCCACCCTAGTCAGACCAGCTCGGGCCAGCACAGCTCAGGCCAGAGGATGTGGGCCCAGGCTGGCCAGCTGTGCAGTCCAGCACAGGGACAGCTCCTTGCTGCTTTTCCCCTGACCCTGGGCTGGTGCTCGCTGTCCTGGCCGGATGCAGGCAGATCCATGCCCAGCCCACTGTCTAGCCCTCTGCATGGTTCCTGACCCTCAGACTTGGGCCTCGCCCCAGCCCTGGCCCATCTGAGGTTCTCCAGGTTGGCTTTGGGCAGTCTCTTGCTTCCCTGTGTCCCCACGCAGGGAAGGGACAGCTGAAGGGCAAGCAGTGACCGAGAGGCTCTGTTCACGCTGGGCGGGCAGTCCAGGTGCCCTCTCCCCAGCCATGGCCCAGGAAGCCCGCTCTCTCTGCTGCTTGGGCCAGCCACAGAGGCTGGGGTACCTGAGGTGCTGGGGTCCTCTGTCAGGTGGCTGCGGCTGGTGTGGCCTGTCCTGGCTGGCTGTGGCCATCTGCCAGCTCCCTGGATACTCTCCCAGACAAAGTGCATAGTTAGAAACCATTGTTGTTATTTTTATGCCCAGACAATAGGGCCTGGAGGGAGGGGAGCTCTGCCTCAGTGCTCTCAGCTAAAAATGGGGTGGGAACCCCCAGGGGCCTCGGCAGCTCTGGAAGTTCCCTTTTCTCTCTCTGTTCTTGGGAAGTTGATTGAGTGACAGCAGGGTCTCAGGTGAGGCCCCTGTGCTGTGGACCAGGTGCTCTCCTCTCTGTGTCCTCGTCTCCCGGTCTATCCTGCCCAGCTCGTGGCATCTCTCCCTTGATGCTGTGGGTCGACCAGGTGTGCTGTCAGTACACACCAGCGGTCACTGTGATGCCCCGGGAAGGGAGAGGGCACCGCCACCGCTGCTCCTAAGGTAGCCCTGTGAAGAAAGGGTGGTGGCCATTTTCTGCATGAGAAGTCGAGGCCTTTGTGGGCCACGTGCCTGAGATGTGAGTGCAGGCCTTCCCAATGGCACGCCGCCCATGTCCCTGTGTTCCACTGCCTGGAGGAGTGGGCTGGGGCTAGCCCAGTGGGGACGGCTCTGGGTGTAAGTGTGCGGGGCCATGGGTCCACTTGGGGACAGGCAGGCCTGGCCCTCCACCAGCACCCTCGGGCACCCTGCTGGCAGGCGACCTCACCCATTGCCACCTACTGGCTCCCAGGCCACTGTCCTGCGGCTGAGGCTCCCATCAGGACTGTGACCAGGCAGTGTGGCCAGTGAGGGCTGGCAGGGACCTGTGGGGAGGCTGGACTTGGCTGTGAGGTTGGCCGGTGGCTCTGCAAGACCCCTGCAGCCACTAGAGCCTGGGTTCTACCAGGCCATGTCTGTGCTGCATGTGGGGACCACGGAGTGGCCCTCCTGGAGGTGCCCGCAGCATCCAACTCTTCTTTGTTGGGACTGCTGGCCCACCATCGACCTCCGCTAATGTGAGCTGTGCCAAGCGAGGGCTGAGTGCAGGCCTTACCTTCTTGCAGTTGATGTGTCCTGCAGGCCTGTGTGTCTCCAGAACTCCCCAGAGGCCCAAGTGCACACACAGGGGAGGCCACGGGAACCTGCCAGCCCAGCAGGTCAGTGTGAGCTCCTGGGAAGGGACGTGCAGAGTCTTTGGAGAGCGAGACACCAGGACCCTGTCCCCTGGACCCAAGATACCCAGGGCCGGAGGTCCCCATGTAGGGAGGCTGTGCAGAGATGGGCTCTGTCAGGCCTGGCACCCTCAGAGGGATGTTTGGGCTCATTTGGATGACCCCAGGAGGGCTGTTGGGTGGCTGGGCAGGAGCTGACCCCATGCACAGAGCCAGGGCCCTGCAGGGCCTGGATGTGAGGCCTGAGGAAGCCAAGGTCCAGCCTGACCCCTCCCCCCACCAGGGCAGACTGTCCTGGTGTGTCCTGCCCCACCCTTGGCCCTGGGGACAGATGCCACGTGGAGGTGGAGGGGGAATGCCGAGTTCCTTGGAA